CACTATGAATTCAACCTCTTGTTTTTAAAGGAGACAGAAAAAAAAAAAATCAACGTAAAAAAAGAAGAAGAACGTTTAGTTCAAGTTTGTGTCATCCTAGATCAGAAGGCTGGTAACATTTGAGAACACATCATCATATTTAACCATGTGTCATTTTTACATTCACAAGTGCAAGTCTTTCCCACAAATCCCTGCAAGACCAGGGCTTCCACTCTTTCTTGAAAATGTCATTTGCATTGTTCCGACAGAAAGAAACTTGTTAACTTGGCTTGAATTAGTGGTATTTTACTGGGAAACAAGCATTCCATGAGAATTAGGTTTGACTACTCCCTGCAAGAAATGGCTGCTCTTTGTAGGTTCCGTATTTATTGTCATAAAACGTACCCAAAGCCTAAAACTAGAGGTGACTGGAAACAATGATCTATTTTTTTGTTTTTTGGTTTTTTTTTATTTATTCTTTAATATTGATCTCTTGCTTTAATTAAACACTTGTTAGCTGCAGTAATTAGGGTTTGGCAACCTTAACAAAAATGTGCTTTTTTGTGTCACATCAGATATCAGACCATTTAAGACCTGATAAAGGGTGTTAACATCATGATGTAATTAAACTGCTGTGTTACATTCCTAAAGAAAATTCAGAGCTATTGTTTGCAAAAGCTGTGAAATAGCCGGAGCAACATGAAACAGCTCACCTTCGGAGCTGATAAACCAGACTTTGTCGAACAGTCACGAGGGGTGTTCTTGTTCAAATCCCTAATATCAAAACGTTGATTAGATTTGTTGAGACTAAAGCAATAACTAAAGCCGTAAGTGTTCCTCCACTTCTGAAACCAGAGGAAAGTACTTGTGGCTACTGAGACGGAGCCGTGGTTTCACATACCCACCTAACCCCCAGGATTCACTTCCCAGGGGAGTGATTTGATCAGAAGCAGCTCCGTGCCGCTGTCTGCGGAAGCGCCAGCAGCAGAACTGCCGCAGCAGGCTCCTCAGTGACCCTGTGCCGAGCAGCGCTGCTGGCAAGTACCTGCAGATACCCGAATACACGCACGGCACCACAAACAGCTCTTACTAACAGGATGGCAAAGGCACCTTGCCTCCACAAAGGCAACCCTACGCTACCGCGTGGCAAATTGCACCTTGAGTATCCCAATGTGCCAGAGGTAACGAAGCGTGGATTTGAACAGCGCTCTGCATGGTTATTTGCATATGAATCAGCCACCAGAAGGTTTGGTAACCTTCTGATGCTGCACGGCACAAACACGTTTTGAATGATTACACTGCATTCCTACGCAGTAGGTGTAGGGTGCAGTATTCGCACGTTGCCAACCGTGCGGATGGTTTGTGTTTTCCCATGCCACCAGGTTTTTTTTCCTTTCAAGTGTAAAGAATGCCAGGAAAAGTCTTGCATTAATCATAAGGCTGGCTGGTGTCTCTTCCACAATGGGGATTATTGTACCTGCATATCCAGCCTAAGAAAACATACCAAAATACTCAAACCCAATTTTAAGTACCTCATGCTTGATCTTGCAGTCCTTATTTAAGGCGCAACCAGTAATCAGATTAATCTCTTTTGTGTATGCAGCCTATCCCCTGGGCAGAGGCAACTCATCTGAAATTGAGGTCCTTGCAATAGAAATTCTCTTTTGAAACACCCTGGCAATGGAATCTGACGAGATCGACAAGGACAATAAAGGTGTTTAAGAAAAACAAAACAGAACGGCTTCAGAAGCAGAAAAAAGATTAAAACCCCCTGTAAGCACATTACAGAAAACAAAAGAGGCAACACCCTTGCCCTAGGATGGGTTTAGTTAACAATGAATTTGTATCAGGTATTTACAGTGTAATGTGACATCTGTTAGTACCTTTTACAGGGGTTTTTATCATTGCTGCCTACGAAATTCAGAAAAGAAGTATCTGTAGGTTACCACAAGAAAGTCCAGCAGAGCTTTCACAAATATGACACAAACATCTTAGTAGGCAATATGCCTGTACGGTGACACCGAGCAAGTGAAAATTGCAAGTTGCAGTGATTTGGGGAAATAAAATACTATCTATTACAAATAAAATGCACTAAGTATAAATCGCAGCTGGAACATTCATAATAAACTGTGCTTGTACTAGATGCTATGTTTCGAGGACAGCAAAATAAGAGGCATACCTTTAAAAGGTAACTTAAAAGTGTTTCAGTACCAAGATTTGTTAGCAGGAAAGCTGTAGGCACAGACTGTCACACTTGAATCACAGGACACAGAATCCCTACAAACAGATTCTGACTTCATCTCTACTAAAAATCATCAAGGGAATGCTCCTATATAGAAAAGCCAGTAATGGCATTTCAGCATCTTGCGCTAGAAACTCTCTTTCCCATCAGTCAACTTGATTTAAATCATTAAGAATACCAACTCGATTTTGGGATTGCAGCTCTTCCTCACCTAGGCTTACTTTTATTAAAACTGTGAAAATATATTCTAAAATGTCGTTACAATTATACCAAACACTGATAGGTTGCAGAATTTGTCATACTTCTTCACAAACGGTACATTAATAAAGACAGGGATAAATAGCAGTTTGTCCTTGACTTCAGGCCCATTATCCTTGCCTCATAAAGTACATCTTTCCTCACTGTACAAAAGGGTTCACAAGATAAAGTATGAAACATATATTTAAATTAAATAATTTATATATTTTTCTTAAAGCACCTCTGTAATATAATTTAGTGAAAGTTTATACCCTGCAATTATCTTCTTGTATTTTACAAATTGAAACATGAAGAAATGGTATTACATTAATTTAAACAATAAATCCCACAACACATAACAATATCAATAACCTTAGATCAAACCCACATATAATTTAAATCTCTAGTAAAAGGAGGATAATAAAGCTGATTAAACCTAGATTTAAAAAAAAAAACAACATATGCAATGGACTATCAAGAAAGCACTTGAGATACAAGCAAGCACCAGATGCCGTGCTACACCTTACATTTCAACACTTACTAAAGGATTAGGGTTTTCAGGGACGGACCATTATTTGTAAGAAAGACCTCGTGCCTAAGCAGTATCAGAGTAGCTGCAAATGTATTTGTTCAGTGCAGTTGCAGGTTTTCAACCAAGTAAGAGGGATGCTGTTAAGGAGAGACAGGGCTGAAATTGTTCCTCTTCAAACACGGTACAGGCAGCTACAGGGTAATCTCCAACTGCTTTGTCTGAGATGGTGCATAAGTCTTCCAGGCTTTCCATTAGAAATTAAGGCGGAAATTCAATTCAATAGTATGTGACCCAGCTCCCGTGATGCATAAATCTCCCCAAGTTTTAGCAGTTTGAATAAACAAACAAATGTTTAGATGCTTATTATAAGCTCTTTGATATGCAAACTTGTGCTAGCTCTCTCATGAGAACAGACTTAGTACAACTGCTGGTATTTCCTAAATCTGTGCGGGCCAGAAATGAGGCAAAAATACACTCTTTGGCAACAGTTCAGCTTCCTAGCAGCTGGCTAGAACCAAAGCACAAAGGCACATAGAAATGACAATTAAATAAAAAAGTTTCCATAAATGCAGAAAAGATTCAATTTCTCGACGTTTTTACCTATTGTCTGTCAGTTGGTGTTTAAAACAGAAGAGGGATTCTGAAATTTAAAAAGGTACAAAGCAACTGACTTTTGCTTTTAAGCAGCAGTTGTGTGCTGTTACACTGAAGACAGTACACCTTTAAAGAAAATATCTAAGAGGGAGATACAAATGAACATCAGATTTCCCTAATACTGGACATGAAAACTTTGTTTTCTTTCCCCTTGTCAAAGTACCTAGGCCATCCCAATAAATAAATAAGCCCCCCCAAAACAACCGTCAAAAATGAGCAAGCTGTACGTTTGTTGAGAACTTAAGTCGTACCATTGTTTCCTAGGATTTTTCTCTATCCATCTCCTGTCTCTTGTCTCAAGCTGTTGTGGGTACCTGGTTGCTAACCAGAGCACTTCGGTGCTATGATAGCAGTTACATTGGTAAGAATCAGACTAAAACTATCCCTAACAAGTCAGTAAATCTTTGATATTTTTTTAATTCTAAAATCTGAACCCTTTATTTCCCTCCACAGAAGGGGCATTTCAAAGTATTAGATGACCTGTATAAGATGGAGATGCTGAAGGCTCCTGTAATAGATTTCAAACTAGTTCAGACTCCAAACTTCCAAGAAAGGAACACAAATGGGGTCAGTTTGAAATGGCAAAAGCCTGTTGCAGTCACCTACTGAAGTAGTGAATGTACTTCATTAAAAGTGGAAAGTAGAAATTCAGAATTTGTTTTGGCCATTAACGCTGGGGAAGTGAATCGTCTGTCCTGTGCCACTCTTTAAAGAGGCTGTGGGTAAGTGCACAGTGCAGCAGTGTGGGCAGTGGAATCCATTCAGAATTTTAGGGTATATTAACATCTGGTTCATATTTCTGTAATTCAGAGATGTGTTCTTTCCTTTTTTCTTTTTTTTTTTTCATTAAAGGTCTGCAATTTACTTTAAAACAGAAATAAAACTTCAGTGTCCAAGGAACTAGTCAAAAAACGCTTGCTGGTTTTCAACTAACAAAACAAAATGGATCTGGAACAGGAGAAGTGCAAATTACACCCTTTACTAATGCCAGTAATAGGAACCTGTTACAAGCAGCTGCTAATACAGCTAAACATTATGCCTTTCACTGCATTTTGCTGTTTTCAGTTCTTTATAGTTTAGCTGAGAATTTATATATTTGTTATTAAATTTTCCAGGTTTTTTAAAATTTCAGAAAACTGGTTTAGACACTTTTGAGAACAAGAGCAGGAAAACCAGGTTTTGTCCACACTGACTGTGTCTGGGTTTCTTGAGAAACTTCTGTACTCCCAAACTATGGAACGTGACTTTGGGATCTCCTCTTTGCAAATATCTAAGCTTTGGGGGAAGAAAATTCAGCTTATACTTTTTTTTATAGAAGATAAAACATTTGGGTATTAGAGCCATCACAGAACGGCATTGAGTAAGCAATGTTGCAGATCAGTTATTTCAATGCTGAATGTCTTGCACTTAAACCCCGCAGTCCTCTAGTGAAACATAGCTGACTGGAAGAACAAAGCAGCATCACTGCTAAAATCCTCATGTTATTTCTGAGGGCGTACCTTGTACTGCTGTAAACCACAAAAGACAACCCATTTCTCATCTGCTGTTTCCTAGTAAGACCAACTATCTTCTCTTAATGAAGTGTTAGAAGTAGCTGTAATGTAAGGCCTATTTCTTCCTGTTGCTCACTGGCAGCAGGAAAGGGGAGAAACTTTTGTGCATGTGTTTCATTGCTTCTATCCTGACCTCAATGGTCACCAAATTTGATGCCTATGCTTCAATATTTTATACTAAATATATCTGACACCAAAACCTCTGCTAATGACCATTGCCTGGATAAATGACAAGTTGCTTTTAAACCTGTAATTTATCCAGTGTCTAGCCATGCCAGCAGGCCTGTAAAGAAACGAGTGACTAAAATGAGAATCATAGTGTGATGTCCTCACTTCAATGATCTTACTTAATTCGTCTAGTAAAGGTGTATGATTCTGAACTCTTCAAATGTGCTACAATGAAACAAGTACAAAGTGTTCTCCTGTGCCACTGCCACTGAAAGCTTAACTATTGTGAAAATGCTAAGATTGGCTCCTGAGGTCTTTGTGTTATGAAACAAACACTAAAATAAGAAAAAAATGTGAAGTCACCATATTAAAATAGAAAAAGAAATAGCACAGTGTCTTGCATGCAGCTAGCACTTTTGTGCAGTACTTTCTGATAAAAGATCCTGTAAAATGGCAAAGTCAAGCACTTTCCTTACGGCTTATTTTGCATTAGCAGTACGTACTATCGTAAAATCAGAGTTTGCTCTCAGTGATAAACTTACTCTCAACTGTGCTCTCTTTCACAATATTGCACAAACGATACCTACAAATGCTGTTCTTGGTAATATTGTCCCCTTATCCACTGCGGCTGTATGGACAAGGACAAAATTTGGTGAAGTAATCTAGCTAATACTTCTATTGACAAGGCCTAAGACAGAACAGAAAGAAATACAGGTGAGTAGACAATTGGAAAGAATGAAACACCATATTCATCACAAAAGTAAACAGATCCAAACAATTCTGTACTGCCAAGATACTTGTCAAGAAAGAAGGTGCCTTTTCTATACAATCAAATCTTCAGAATCAGCTATCACGGCACTAGAATGCTGTGCAGTTGAAATTCTTTTCTCTGGGCTAGGGTCAGAGTTTTCAGTCTCTCCAAAACTCTTGCTAAGACAAGATAGCATTTTTAAGCCAAAATTGCTTGAGCTATTACAAGTTCTCAAAAATACACATGGTATGACATCATTTTTACTCAGGGACACTTTCATACTTCCTTAAAACACTTGAAAAAAGGGTTCCATTGCTTTATCACATTTACTCTCCAAGAAACACCTGAATGGAACATCTCTACTGTATTTTAGATAACTGTTTGGACTTTAATCCGTTTCATAAAAGAACCATCTTTTAAACATGCTAGTCCTAAGGTGTAACCTTACCAGGATACACCTAGGCTAATCCTAAATTATACCAATGTAATACTATATGAAGCTGTACTGCATTTCATGGAATTAAAGCAGCAGTGGATCAAAGGTCTTTCAAATTTTTTAGATGTGTATGTACAGTAATATCCAAGCATTTCATATACCTAGACTGACTGCTGTAAGGAAAAGTGTTAGTTGGTTCTCAGTAATTACCATTAGCCAGAAGTGCATAACCTTTATGATTATGCATATACCTGCAGAGAATTTGTGGGATTTGTTATAGTAATTCTAAAATGACTAAGCCAAGAGGAAATACAATTTTGTTCATTTCTGTTACTTAACATTCTGATTTATTATACAAATATGTATTCCTTACCAATCTTAAAATTTCCAAGTAAAAGAACCATTGTAAGACACTTCACGAGCACTATGATCAGTACTTTTCTGCAGAAATCTTTCAAAAAAAGACAGAAGATCCCAAACCAAAAGAAGTGTAACACTCCAGCTACCCAGCATTAGATTTTTCTGGGCTGAGTGAACAGCAGATAACTGTGCAAGTAGTTTTGCTCCCATCCGTTATTAGTATTGCTCGTCTTCAAATATTGTGGAAAAAATTACTAAAAATCCTTAGTACATATCCCTGTAGATTTCCTGTAGTAAAGGGTGTAAATGTGCATCAGATTCAGTCTTCTTAATTATCTGAACAAGCTGAGCATGCTCTGTGACTAGTTGTCGGAGGTCAGCCATTTTTTGGAGGAGTTTCGGGAAGAGGAAGGTGTCATCAGGATGGTTGGTTTGCAAGTGAAGTTTCAGTACATGCACGATGCTCTCCTGCATTTTTTCAATGTGTCCTACATTCACAAGACCAGGGCGATCTGTTCTCAACACAAGCAAAAGAATGCATGTCATAATTTTATAATTATTCCTTAAAGTAAGCTACTTTATAGGTTTTATGTTGTAGGCTACAGTTACATTATACACTGAGGGCAATGAGGCTTAAAATGAATCTGAAAAAGAAAGACAAGAAAAAAAGTAGTCATCCCTTTTGCCTGACTTTCATCAATGCCAACAGTTATTTGAGGAGAGATTTCATACCACTAAATACAACTCATGTCACAAAAGTACAAAACCCCACCCATTCTCTCACCCCCAAAACCAGAAGTATCCAGTTTTATATTCTGCATGATAACAGAATTCAAACAGTAACGATGGAAAAAGCATGTGGCTATTTCTAGAGAGTTCTTGAAGTTTGGTAGCAATGTAGCAAGAAGTAAGTAGCAGGCTTTCACTCTCGGCTCCTGTATGTATACTGTCATAGCACAAGTTATTGACAGGATGTAGAGAAGCCCCTATTAAGGATGTTTCACTCTTTCTATTACATGATCTCTTTTCAGCTACTTAGTCCTGTAATACCTTCACTCTCCAGATTAAACTTCTCTGTAAGAAGTCTGGGACAACAGACTACATATGCTTCTTGAAAACTTAAGCTAGTTCCTAGGAGGAGGATAGAGGGGTAAAGCAAAACAAAACATTTTGCCTTCACTCTCTTCATTTCTGAAAATGTGAAAATACCAATTTATTATGCAAAAATAATTCAAGATTTAATCTTGATTTGCTATCTAAACTAGCATATAAAGCTTCTGAAAGTCCACAGGTTGTATGTCTCCTTGTAATTGCTAAGGATGCAACCAGAGCAGTGAAACACCCTGTGAGTCTGGCAGAATGCAAAAAAGGCAGGCAGGAACAGTTGTTAGAACTTTCTTGATCTTTTATTTTCTTTTTCTCTGTTTAATATCTTTGTTGGCAACAATGACAGTGGGATTCAGTGCACCCTCAGTAAGTTTGCTGATGACACCAAACTGTTTGGTTCAGTCAACAAGCTGGAGGGAAGGGATGCCATGCAGATGGACCTTGACACACTTGAGAGGTGGCCAGTGCCAACCTCATGAAGTTCAACAAAGCAAAGTACAAGGTCCTACACCTGGGTCAGGGTAATTCTAAACACAAATACAGGCTGGGCAGAAACTGGATTGAGAGCAGCCCTGTGGAGAAGGAGTTGGGGGTTTTGGTTGATGAGAAACTGAACATGAGAGGGGTTCAGTGTGTGCTCGCAGCTCAGAAGGTCAACTGTAACCTGGGCTGCATCAAAAGGAGCGTGACCAGCAGGTCGAAGGAGGTGATCCTGCCCCTCTGCTCTGCTCTCGTGAGACCTCACCTGGAGTACTGCATTCAGCTCTGGGGACCTGAACATAAGAGGGACGTGGACCTGTTGGAACGAGTCCAGAGGAGGCCATGAGGATGATAAAGGGGACTGGAGCACCTCTGCTATGGAGCCAGTCTGGGAAAGCCCGGCTTTTTCAGCCTGGAGAAGAGAAGGCTTAGGGGAGATCTTAGAGCAGTTCCTCAGTGCCTAAATAGGGCTTACAAGAAATCTGGAGAGGGACTTCTTACAAGGGCATGTAGTGACAAGGAGGAATGGCTTTAAACTGACAGAAGGGAGATTTAGATTAGACATTAGAAAGAGGGGTTTTTTTGGCAGAGAGGGTAGTGAGGCACTGGCACAGGTTGCCCAGAGGACCCATGGCTGCCCCATCCCTGGCAGTGTTCAAGGCCAGGTTGGACAGGGCTTTGAGCAACCTGGTCTAGTGTAAGGTGTCCCTGCCCATGGCAGCGGATTGGAGTGGGATGAGCTTTAAGGTCTCTCCCAACGCAAACATTCTATGATTGAAAAATAATCTTTCAAACCCCAAACAAAAACCCACCTACACTCTTCACATCCCACTTTTAACAACAGAGAGTAACTAGACCCCTCTCTAATGAGGCTTAACAGTAACTCCAAACACATCTACAATTTCATTTTCATGTTAGGCACACCAAAAACCTGTAAGTGTACCTATCTGCTTAAAAGCTGTAGTGTACCTATCTCCCTACAGTCAAATACAGCATCAAGACTGCTAATGGTTACACAGTATCTTCCATGAAACATGCTAAAAGGCAAAATGACATTGTTAGAGGTAGAATTGAATCTTCAAGAAATATATAAGCTTTTCCATTAAAATTATTGATTCACAGGAATATTACAATTTACCACCTTAAAGACCAAAGATGCAATGCTTACCTCCACAGCAAATGATGGCAGCAACAAAAAGGGATATATCACTATCATCCAATTCCAGTGCATTGAATTTCATTGCAAAATCAAATTTTGGCTCCATTATATCACAGAATGGCTTTCTCAGGCTTTTCAGGAACTCCCGGGTTATAAAACCGTTTCCATAGGCGACTAGCATCCCATCCTTGTTCATCACAGATGCTAACATGGCAAATATGGCTTCATAAACTCCGTATTTTAACAGTGTCACTTGATCATTCAAGTCGAGATTGGAGAAGCCAGGTATAGATTTGGCAAATTCAGTAAGTTCAGTGACTGTCTCTACAGACGTACACTGGCAGCAGTGGAAGATTCGAACCTCTGCTTCCTTGTTCTGAATTCCATTGGCCACCAATTTTGCCACCAAGGTCTTCTCTGCCATACACAAGGTATCCATATCATGTATTACAAATGGCTACAGGAGGAAAAACCAAAACTAATTCAGTTTCAAAATAATGGTTATTAATCACTGCTTTCCTAAGGAATAGGAATTTTGATAATCTAACTTTCGTGCTGATCAGTCTTCAACTATCAGTAAACCATGAGTTCTTTCATATTTCTGCATAGAGAAACCAAGTATTATAGAACTACAAACGGCAATATCTAAGTCTGCTCTGCAAATAACAATGCAATTAGTAAAATATAAATATGTATGACATATCTTTAATCTAGTTCTATGTAGCAGTTTTAGTGAAGATCCAGAAGTACTGTGCTTAGTATGCATATATCCATTTTAGAGCAAGTCCCAGAAGGTTCACAAAAGACTCGTATTACCTTCTCCAGAAGTCCAGGTTATTCTGCCTACACTCCTATCGATTCCTAAACTAACTACACTTGATGCACATCATGATGCTTTCCTGAAGTATCCTAGGGGGAATACAGACAGTCATTTAAATATAGGACAGCATATTTGTACACAAACATGAATCTTCTACTACTCTTGTGTTTTATTATCAGATTTTCATAGACCATGTCCCAGCTGATCTTCCACAGAAATTCAACTCATCTTTCTAGCTACAATTAGTGCTAAGTCATCTCTAAACCCAAAATCCCACTAGAATATCAGACAACACAAAATTCCAGTCTTGATCATGGTCTTTTCAATAATCCCCTTAGCTTAAAGAGGTATGTGCATTACAAACTGATGAGCCAGTCCCTTAAAACATCATATAAGAAAAAGTATTCAGACTTTCTTAAAAACAATTGGAATTCAAAAATATTTTGATACATGTCTGAAGAGGGCAATCCACTAAAGGAAAACAATGAAACCCAGTGCTCCCTGGCCTACCAAAGTCATGGCGATTAAGATGTATCTAGTTCCATACATGCTAAGCAAAGCACCTTCCCTGTGCTGTTTTGGTCATCTCAGATTAAATATCATGAGGAACACCTGGTGTTCTGTTAAAAACCTACAGAATTCACTTATTTCACTTAGAAAACTGCCAAGCATGATCGTTTCCCACAACTGTCCACTTTCAAATGCTTATGGCAGCTGCACTTTCCAGCTCACTTCTATACTTAGTGTCACACAGAACGGAAATTTCTGTGTGCATCTGGATATGAATGGAAAGTGGCAAAGCAATAAACACATTTCTAAACCCTTTGAAGATGCAGACTATCTCGTAAATCTTTTTGGGGATTTATCATCATTTCACTATGCAGAAAATATGTATGGCCAATGACTTAAAAGCTAAATTTAAAAATGATACCTTACCATCGTTAAAAACACTAGTTAATTCTCAAATGAATTATAGTGGTGACAGGAATTAGGATTCAGTAAATCAGCTGTTAATGCACTGTTCAGAAGCAGGTGGATTACTAACAACAAATCCCCCCTTTTTTTCTTTAATTTTATATTAAAAAGTCACAAGAGAATTAAAATGTTTGTTTTCCCCAGAGATGATGAAATAGCTTAAAAACCATCTTCTCTTCCCTGCACATTGAAGAATGAGAAACCAGTCTGTTGATAACATACTAGGCCTTATTCCTCATTAATTTTTACTTGTAAATTTACCAAGACACACGCCAGCCACTATTAGCTAGTCAATCAGATGACTATAATCCAAGAGCCTTGATTGCATAAATAGAAACTCAACCATTAGGATGAAGTGATCTGGGATCCCTACATGTATGATACATATTTTAACTGGTGATTCTGACATGTGGCAACAAGCGTGAAAAGAACTTTATGCAGATACCTACTTGGTAAGGTGTTAAAGCATAGTATTTACTGTAGGCTTATGTCAGCTTGTACCCCAAAAAGTTTAAGCCTGGGCTTAATTTTAGACATCTCTTTAATCCAATGAAAAAGACTGGGTTTACTCGTATGTCTCTTTTAATGTAGCAGCCTGTATTCTTGGCTAGACTAGACTATAATATGCCAAGTTCCATAATTTAGAAGACAGCTTGCTTACAATTTTTATAACACTCATCCCCACAGTTACATGGGATTTTTTATTGTGGCATATGTAAAGCCTCTTCCCTGCAAATTTTTCCTGAAATTAAAAATTGTTGGTAAAATAAGAGACTGATCTTCTCCATATAATTAACATAAATCCCAACAGAATTTAAAAACATATGCATAAATGAAAGAAGTCAGTCCTTACAAGGGTTATACAATCTCATGTGCTACACAACAAAAAGCAAGTGATAGCATTAGGTAGACCTTGACTAAATTATCCTGAGAGGAAAATAATCTCTACAGCATACGTGTCTTTACAACCTTGCTTGCTTCTCCCTTTCAAGGTAACCATACAGTAAAGACCAGGAAGACAAGGTGAGGAAGTGACCAGAACTGTAAATAAAGAATTACAAACTCAAGTTTTCTTTTCCCTCCTGCCATTAATATTGTTGTGATTAAAACAGAAGTCATACAGAGCTCCTGTACGCCTTAAAAGATAACAGTATTTATCCTGGCATTTGTGGCAGAAAAAAAATATTTATTTTTCCGCTGTCAAATAGGAAATTATTTTGGAACCATTTCCCCCACCCATACCAAGAGGTATTCACATTTAGATGTCTTTTTTTTTTGCTTTTAATTAAGAACTAATTATCTTTCCCTTACTATAATTTGAGATTTTAGGCTTCCATTTACAAGTTAATCACCTGATTTTCCTTAAGTTTCCTATTTTTCTGATGGTGGCTAAAAGCAACTGTATTTACTACAGGCATTCTTTTTACATATTTATTGTCTATATTAACATGATACTTATTTTCCAGTAGATCTGATTAGGAGTTCAACAAATTATCTTATATATCTGACAGCTTTATTTTAAAGTTAGTACAAAAGTACTTACAGGATTGTTACTAGTTTTCCCTGCAAGGATGATTCTGGCTTTAACCTTGTTCATATTGAAGTTTTTCAGGTAAGCATCATGAATTCTTTTGGCAAGTGATTTAAGATCTGCCATTTCTGAATCTTCTACATAATTTTCACCTGTTAGAATTTCTGCCTTCAACTTGGCCTTCTCAGACCTTGGCATTCGTCCAAAACGTATTGCTGATGGGAAGACACAGTTATAAAACAAATGTTAGTTACACAGAAACCTGTACCTTTTAACATTGCTGGTTAGAGCAGTAAGACTTTGTGACTAGAAAAACTGAGATAGAGGCAGCATCTTTATTATGAGAAATTCACAAGTGAAAAAATCTCATCCTTTCTAACACAGTGATTAAGTATTTATGCAAAATCTGAAGGTAATCAGATGTTTCAACACACAACCTGGTATCTACAATGAGCTAGAACGCATGCTTTTTTCCCTTCTACATTACCTAAGTAGTTGTATTTATTTTTTTTTCTCTCCTTATTGTGTTCTACAGCTCCCAGTAAGAAATTCAAAGTATGCCTTGGGAATTCTAAAAACTGAGTAAACTCCTGTCAGGAGTTTGGCAGAGAGTGCACATGCCAGCTGGAGACCTGCCTGGAAGGTTACTCCACAGGGAACACTGCAACAGGGTTGGGCCCAAATCCCACTGCTGATCTTGAACCTGCTGGGGCATTAAGTTCTTTATGCACTCCATTTTCAGTTCAACATATCTGTATTGTTTAGTGAGAACAAAACAGACCAGAGACTCTGATTTATGCTTAAAGGCTATTGTCAACAAAACCTCTTCCTAGCCTCAGCATTTTATGCTTCTTTTTCTTCAATAAATTAGTCCTTCATGACTGGAGAGGATGAGAACAGAGTTTGAGTATCCAATCTAGTCATCAGGATATACTTTTGAGAAGGAGACGTAAGTTTGCAACTCCACTGGGATGGAGGTCTCCCAGTTCTTGGGCAAGTGGTCTTGCCATTTAACAATAAAACAGGCATATCAATATCCTTCTTTAGTTTCAGTCAAAAACTAACCCAGCTCTATTTTAAAAGGGGCCTTACCCTCTGATGGTGTGCAAGGTTTTAGAATGGCTAATAGAGATGGTTACTCTACCACGTTTCAGCATCTCACCAGTGAGAGGACAGAACCTCACTGCTTAGACTGAGCAATTCAGAGCATAGGCAGAATTAGCCCTTCAACATACCCGAGCAACCTTCTCCTGACTTGAGGAGGTATCTAGGCATGATCTGAAATACGGTTTTGGATTTCAATGGAAGCCCAACATGGAAGGCCTGTTTGGAATCTGGCCATGGATCTATTGGAAAAGTGGAAGAATATCTGCTCTAAACTGAAACTTAAAGCTTCAACTGAATGTTAATTCCTGCCAACCAGCACAGCTCCCTGTTCAACTCCTGCCCCTGGGCTGTTACTTTGTTGGCTGGCGCATTCTCCCTAAGCCTGCTGCTTCAGGAAGCTTACCACCAGTCTTGTAAAGACTATTAGCTCTCTCCCAGTGGAACTTAATCTCAGTCAAGGCTCACCACAAGGAAGTCAGACTTCCCCAGAACCAGAAAGTCAACTCTCCCAATGTCATTCTAGGACTCTAGACTTACCATGTCATAGGCAGCTTCCCCAACCACATCCCCACCCAGCTATCTCGACTGCATATTTTCCTTAGGAAGTCTCCTAACCCACAGCTCAGCATTTTCACCTACTTTTCACCCATTCCCAAATTGCACCTGCTCTCGGGGTGAGCCTTGACACTATCGGACCTAGGCAGGAAAAGCAAACTACTGTCATCTGCCTGAACAAAATGTGCTTTGTCATGGCTGGGCCTCTCCCTGTTTACCAAAGTTGCTTAGCAAGCTACCTACTGTGCATAAAACTGCCTTGTGGGTTGAAATTGGCCTGTAAACCACAGGCTTACCAGCCTTATCTTAAATCATTAACACAATAACATAATTTTTAAACTGAATATCTAATCACTCTGATTTTTTACCATTCCATTTAACAATCAACCTACCAGATTTTTGTTCTACAGTCAGCACAGATCTTTGCCCTCCCTCACCACTCCTTGAACCACCTGCCCAAGAGCTGTTGCACTGTAACCTGAAAAATCATAAGTCTGGTTTCCTACAGATTTCTATCCTACGTCATTCCCTCTCACAATGAGCTAGTTGTTCTCCTACTCATCTAAAATGCTCTTGATCAGAATTCTTCCAGTATTGAAACTTGTTTCAATGGGAGTAATGGTGCAAAGTTCTGGGTGAAGAAAGCAACTAAATGAACACTCATATGGACAAATAGACATCCAGCACAATTGAGTGTAAAGCTCATAACAGTACATTTGGCAGCTATGTATCAATTACATTAACTACTCATTAGGGAAAATGGTGTCCCCCCTATGACTGTAAAAATCTGAGGTTCAACTCATATGTACAAGTAAAAACACTATCCAAGTGCCTGCTTCTAGAAGCAGACTCTGGGTAGGACCAAACAAATTATTAAGGGCACTCTTACCTACCATTATGTGACATTCCAACTGAAAGGCACTTTTGAAAACGACAGTATTGGCACTTATTACGATTTTTTTTCTGAATTTTGCAGTTGCGATCACATTTATCATAGATGAGTTTTAAACGAATTGTTCTTCTAAAAAAACCCTATAAAAAGTTTGAGAAAACAACATGCAATGTTAAAGAAAGTTGACTACTAAGCTTCAGTCATACAGGTGATTTTTTTCTTTCATTGTTTATTGATGTCACTAGCAAAAAAATACACAAGGTATAACCTCTCCAAAGGTAAGAATCTATGCAGTGAAGTGGTAAGTATGAAGGAATGTACAGAATAGAAAACACAAAAGGAAGGAGTAACTACCAGCCCTCTTTCTTGGGAGAGGACCGAGAGCCCAGAGTACCTGGCTAGATTTGTCTTTAAGGATTAAGCAAAACAGTGACATACTGAGTTTGTACACATTCTCTAAGCATCCTCTGTCAGAAATAACCTTCATCTTTCATATGTATAAGACACACAAACACACAGATTTAGCACATCTTTTCTTCATCCAGCAAATGTGAGGGGTATGACAGCACAGCACAGTGTATGGAAAAAGCCAAGGACACAAAAAAAAGCATTACAGAAGAGCCTATAAGTCAACTTCTTACCATGATGTCTTGGTACTGCAATGTAAGGTTAGTCTCATACTACAAAATCATAAGGTTAGCAAATTTAGAGACACTGCACCATTTTGTATTACATGGCATAACAAGAAGTCATTTAGACCGTGGGACACAACTGACTATGAACTGGCCCCACACCTCTCATAGATATTGTAGCATTATTCTGGAAGATTTATATTGGAATTATCATATTCTGACATTGTGCATGAAAGAAAAATGTACATGTATATAATTACTTATCTAACTTTGCATTATAATTTAGAAAAAAATGGAAAACTAAAACACTGGAAGGAAAAAGAATCTTCTAATTCATTGGCCAACAATCTGTGATAAAATAGCTGACGATAACACTGATAACATTAGTTTGCTGCAGAGACATGCACTGGCCCCAGAACTAAAAGAGGTACAATATTAAGTGATTCAGGCAGAATGTGGTGAAGATGAGAAATTCAGCATTTGTTACTGTTATAATGGAAACCTAGCAAACTGGCATGCTTCTCATAGCCATACTCCCAACACAAATAAAACACTAGTGGAGCAAGTAGGCTTTGATTTTTGGTCACAGTTTAGTGTTTTAAGTTGTTTTAGTGATTAACTACCTATATGCAGAAAATCAGCATTAAAAATATAATTGTGAATTGCCCCTGCTTGATGAAGGTCTGATATTGAGTTGTGGTATCCAGGTATGTATCTGAACAATTTATTTCAGAGAAAAGGTCACCAATATGTTTACTATTTAAATATTTTTAATGGCTAGAATTATATTAATTAAAAATTTATGTAACAAATGTTTATCTTCATATAACCCTGTAAATAAAGCAACATGATTTAGGTTCTTAAAAAGAAAATTATGACTGTACCTTACAACCTTCACAAGCATGTACTCCGTAATGGTAGCCTGAGGCTTTATCCCCACAAATTCTACATTCAATGTTTAATGCTCCACTGGGTGATTCATCTATGCTACCTGGAGCTGTGGCAAAATTAATGGATGAAGGACTGGATGCTGGTGAAAGGGTGTCTAAAAGAAAAAGGAACACTTCATAAACACTATACTATCAAACCTGATACCATTGCTATACTAAAACCACAGGAAAAAAAAAAAAGCTTATGCTAAAAAATGATGAGTTTCTAGTCATTAAGTGATATTATAATTTGGCCATAAGTGTTTGAAAATAATTCATAATTATATTAACAGTGCAAACAAACACAAAACACAGGGTGTGCCTTGCTAATTTTGATGAGACATACAATGTCAACAAACAAAAAGCCTTGCTGAAGTAACTCTGACAACAAGAGCTAGAAGGCTGATAATGGTCCTTGAGGATTCAACACACAGCACACAAAATATGAGAAAACCAAGCTATTCTGGATTTTTCTACATTCCATTTTTTATTTGGAATATTTCAAATGTTTCTCAATTTGATGTGAACATGATTTTTTTAATCCCACAATGTAAAATAAGTAACACTCCCCCCCCCCCCCCCCCCCCGCCCCGAATTATTATTTCATTTAAATCAAGGAAATTTTCTTAACCATAGGAATGTACATGTACCATTTTCACAAATAACATGAATTTGAAACCAAAAAGCAGTATTCAACATGTCCAGAGAATTTGTGGCTGCCCCATCCCTGGCAGTGTTCAGGCCAGGCTGGACAGGGCTTGGAGCAACCTGGTCTGGTGAAAGGTGTCCCTACCCATGGCATAGCGGTTGGAACTAGATGAGCTTTAAGGTCCCTTTCAATCCAAACCATTCTGTGATTCTGTGATTCTATGTACTGTTTGTCTTGAGCAGTAGATACAAAATATATTAAAAAAACCACCAAACCCAAAACAAGAAACACCCCAACCCAAAGCAAAACCAAAACCAACCAGCCTATCAAAAAAACCCACAAGGAACTAAAACCCCCCATGACTTCAAGTTTGTATCATAATGTCCATTTAACCTGTCATTCACGCTTTCCAGAAAGGTTATTAACATCTCAACTTGCCATTACATATTCCATCTCTTGTGCCTTAGTGTGGAGCATAAGATCTATTGCTATGCTATGACAAGAAACACATTCCTAGCTCATGGCAAGTTATACTTAAGATACACTTAAGGTCCCCCTGACTTTTGAAGAGGTACCCATAGTTTTATATGCTAATCGAAACTGAAGTCTAAAAAACAGTTACACAACTTCTTTTTCTAAAGAGATTTTCTCAAATTGAAAGCCTGATCCTGCACATCAGTAGAAAGGCTGAACACGTATTAAACGGAAGGTAACGCAAACGTTTGCTTCCAAGATAATTTAGCAATAGAAGTCTTGCTCAGGTATTTTACGTTTTGATTATAATGGGAAAAGCATTTCTGAATTGTTGTACAATGAAAAAAACCTCTCCACACATTTTACTACTAGATGAATATGCTAAAGACCTAACGCATTCCAACTTTAATTATTTCAATTAATTTTTCCACCTTCTTCAAGGAAAATATTTTCTGAGGCCAGAATTTCTTTTATCTTCCATCTTGCACCACATGACTTAAGCAAATTAATGGGTGTGTTATTTTAAAAGAAAGATTAAGAAACACTCATGAATGTAGGTCAGCAAGTATTATGTTGGAAAAAAACCTTGGCATAGAACTCGGTCTGCACTGCCAGCACTGCCAAGCCCACAGGCATTAGAGTCATCAAGAACAGCCTAAAACCCAAGAGGTTTTTTAAGGTGGGATTTTAATTTCTTTTTACTTGCCTTATGGAATTTGAGCCTTGAAAGTTTACACTTTCCATCTTCTCTAACAGCAAAACTAGAACGTTTTGCAATGAACACTGAATAGTCAAATTAGAAGGTGACACCAGAAACTTGTACACCCATACACACAATTAATTTAAAAGCCTCATGTTTCAGGACGATGCTATAAACCCATATAAACTTTTTCTCTAGAAGGCATCTCTCTAATGTAAAGGTCTACAACCAAAAGGGACACAAATGGTTGTTCTACAAACATTTCTTTGGGCAGTAGTGCCAAGAGGCAGCTCTCCCTGCTGCCTTTAAAACTCATACTATTCCTTTCAACCACTTCAGCACAGAGGCACACCTCAGATCTGTTTTTGTAAGGTAAAATAGCAATCACAGCCAGTAAATTGATTTAAAGTAAGAAACCCAAAAAACCAAAACATAATGTAAACCAACCAGAAAGCTAATCATAAACTAGCTCTACTGCTAAAAGATTTGTAAACCCATAGTTTCAAAAGGAATACCTTACTGACATTATTGCAGTGCCCCATACCACTTCAATGAATTCCATTTTGATCTCTCAAAGCCTCTCACTAGGATCTTTTGACTAAAGACTATGTAATGTATTAGCAGTCAGAGTATTACTTGAACCAGGGTAGAAGTCATTGACTAAATAATATTCCTCTTTGGAAGTGGGAGAAAACAGCATGTTCAGAACACCACTACACCAAAATACATGGGAATTCTAGGGGAGCTTTTAGGGGTCAGGTTTTTGGCAAACATTTCACAACACCTTTTGAATATATGTGATTTGAAGAAACTTAAAAAAATTAGGAATTCCTTCAGTTCAATGTTGTGAATTCCTATATGACTACAATATATAGTAACTTCTTTCACAGTGATTTTTACAAGTTGTGTTGAAAAAGGCATTGATACTAACGATAATTTAAAACAGTGACTTTACAGTCATTTTTCAACGGCATTTGTCTAAGTTAACTTCAGCCTTAAATATTTTATGACTGCGCTAAAATCAGCTTATATATTTCCAGTGTCACCTAGTCATAAACAACGGTTATTATATTTAAGAGGTTTTTCAATTTCTGTCACTGTGCAATACTACATGTATTTATAAAACAAAGTTTTATGGTAAACCAAAACTCTCTTACCTGTTATGACTGATCCATCAGATCCTGGACCATTTCCCAGTGACTGGAACTCTGTTAAACTTAAAGCTCCAGAGCTATCATCACCTAAAGACTGAGAGAGGTCTTGAATGTTCTCCATATCTTGTAGGAACTCTCCAGATAAAGGGCTGCCTATATCATCCTCCTCCAAAGGAGTAAGGGGATAGAGCTGGTTTTCAGTGTCCACCATGTTGATCAAATAGAGCGGTCACTTAAACTTCTTTATGCTGGTGAAAGAATAAAAAAACCTGTACTTACAATACCATAATATTTTATTTTTTCATACATATTTGAATCACAGCACACAATACATGACTTTTAATCCAATAGTGAAATACTATACAGCATTCTGTTCCTCCAGAAGCTTTATGCACCATGAATTGTCAAAAGGATAGGGGAAAAAAGACCCAAAACATGCCCAAAATATTTCATTATGAGAGTTATGACAAGATTAATCTGTGGATCATTGTTTTCTCTCCTTTGCTGATAAAAATTACATATTGTGCATTATACACCTCCTATGAAAACTGATATGAAAAAATTACAAATATCAATACACATATATTTGGCAAGTCTTTTCTCACTTCATCCAACAGGTTTAGATATGTTGATTTTATCCTTTGTTCTCATCTCTCAAATTTGTTCAACAGGTCTTATGACACTGTAGGGAACAAAATACTGTCTTATATTAAAATCTTTGTAAAAGCGGCCAAAACTAATACCTTTTTGTTACCTACTTTAGTCAGATAACATCTTCAGCAATCTAATACATCAGTAATTCCTAGAGTTAGTTCTATTTCCTACAGTGAAGTAAGCTTTCAAAGTTGCCTACAAAGCTAGCCACCACTGTCATCAACTTCGAGTAACAGCACAAATCCCTTAGAAAACATCACAAATTGTAATTATTCTTTTGTTGACTTCTCAGATAAGGAATTAATAAATGTACTGCAGAATGTTAACTACTGCTGCATAGATACACTTCTGCTAAAAGAAACTGTCACACTGAGTAACTAACACTTGTGCATACACATAGTGCTGCAAGTCTTGTCCATGCAATGAATATGCACAAGCATTTAGAGAAGCTCTGACTGTTACTGTGGTTACCACTCAATGCTGGCCTTTCCAAAGAACCCATGTTCACTGCAGTTTATTGTGAAGCTTGAAACTACCAATAAGTGGCTATGTGGACACATATAAATGCTGATTTTAAAATAAAAGTGCGATGTTCTGATTAAAAAAACAAACAAAACTTCCTTGATATTAAAGTTTTAAATACCAACTAGTTTGATTCACATGACACTGAACGTTTTAGATTAAGAAATCAATCCTTTTCTCTGATAATCTGTGATGGATTCATCCTATGAAAATCAGTCATTTATTCTGGAAAAAAAAACCCTAACATACTGAGTAACTTAGCAGATGAAGAGTGCCTTACAAAACATTACTTTTACAAGAAAAAGAATCAACTGCAAACATTTCTGGTTGACACCATTTATTATTCTCTGCCAGTACTTTCAGTATTGAATATCTTTGTACAATTTCTCTGTTGAGGCAGCATGAACCAGCCCAGTAACAGCTGGAATTAACGTGCTGCTTGCTGTTTGTTAGATCTGAGTCCAAAACATTACATTATTCACCTGATATGCCTGACATAATTGGAATATACTTGAGCTGAGAAATGAGAAATCACTTCTGTATTTTATTTGTGAAAATGAAGTTAAATTGCTATCCCTGTGATGTAGCGGTTTTGTGATGAAGGAGAAGAATAAAGAAACCTTGACATACGTTGGTTTTGTAATGATGGCTGAGAATAACTGTTCTCCAGCAATCCAAAGCAGACTACCAAATTTGTCTCCCTAAGGAGCCATCAACAAAAAAGGAAGAATGCAATGGTGGAGCACATGATGGGCACTGCTCCTCCAGAGTACGCTTCATGAACTTATCCAAGGGTAAAGAGTTGTTCACAACACAGAAACATATTCCTCAGCAGATACATAGCATGTTCTTTACTGTGAGGGTGGTGAGACACTGGAACAGGTTGCCCAAAGAAGTGGTAAATGCTCCATCCCTGGCAGTGTTCAAAGCCAGGCTGGACAGAGCCTTGACTGACGTGGTCTAGTGTGAGGCATCCCGGCCCATGCAGGGGGATTGGAACTTGATGCTCTTAAGGTCCTTTCCAACCCAAACCATTCTATGATTCCATGAGTAGTATGCCTCAGGATAGCTGGGGAGGTTCCAGGACACACTACTCTCCTTGTACTCAAATTACTTCAAGTACCCTACTGAATGACATACATCTCTCCAAGTATCACTTCTTCATCAAGCAAGAGCATTTTTAAAAGATGAAGTGAATGCTGAAGTCTACCTTGAAACAACATGGACATTATTCGACATGAAAGCAAAGCTAGCTGAACATAACATGGCAACAGCTCTTCCAGCAGCACGCCTGGTATTCCCCAATTTGCATTATACTTTTCCACATTTACAGTAAATATTTAAAATTCAGCAGTCATCTTAGCTGAATTGATGTAAGAACAACCTAACAGCTAGTGAAACATAAATGGAGTTCTTATTGTTTTAACTATTAAATTACATACCCTTTTGTACTTTCAAACACTACTAGTGAATTACAGCTGCTTAATCATTATGGCTCTTGTCAAAGATTAACTAGCTACCTTAGGAAGCATAGCCATTTCTGAGACTCTCCATTTCTGGAGACTGTCAAATTATCTTTCTTTACTGAAAAGGTTATACTTATTTTTTTCCATAAGCACAGAAAACCTTTAGGTGAAATGTCATGAGTTCATGTAGTAAACCATTTGCCTTCTGTCTTCTCTGTATTCTGTGCATGTTTATACATGCATATGCTTTTATTGGCAGGTTTCACTTAATATGTATTGATCCTTGCTTCTATGAAAGTAAAACTTCTAAAGCAAAAAGGGTAATGAGTATGAAATTCATTTAGGTAATATTCCCAGAGAGTATTCTGCTTTGCAAAAAAAGCTGTACATGTTACAACAGTAGATGTGGTAGCTGCAGCACGATAATTCCACTAAAGCATCTATATAACTTCTAACTCTTAAGACTCTAGAAAAAGCCTGTGCCAGACATTCACAGAGGATTTTCTCCATTCCCCATGTGATATTTTAGTCTTCATACCCCCTTTCCTATACCCACATACAAACATGCACAAAGTAAACTGAAAACAAGAGAGCATGACATGGAGAAATAAGACCACAATTCATGTAATTATGACTTTAAGAATAAACAGCCCTCTCTCACAGCCTTTTATCTCTGAAGTAAGTCTATTTTCAGAAGTCTTCCTTTCCCACCACTACACTGCAAATACCCAATGAGTAACTTACCTATAATCTTGAAACAGATCTTAAAGAAATCATGGTCAGCCTATCAAAGGAAAATACCTAATCATGCAGCATTCGGTTAATTGCTTCATTTTTGGAAAGGGATAGTGGGAGACTGAACCACTGGCCCTTCCACATTCAGTACTTGCCACACTAGGGATAATCCCTTGGGTTGCCCAGATGCAAAGGTCTCTGAGAAGCAGCAACAAAGTCTGGATTTACTGCATAAACAAATTGATCGTTTAAAGGGCTTGCATGCAAACATCAAGGTTAAAGTTGAAACAATCATTACCTCTCGGTCACTTTGAGAATGCTGTAGCTGAACACAGCACATTTAAAACTAGTGGCTGCAGTAGACAGGCTTAGAAAACTTAGGTAAATAGGAAGAGGTGAATTTGTAAGCTACAGGGTATTTCCAGTATCCTGATTCAATACATAAAAAACAACTGAAAATAAAATCTGGCACCTAAAATACGAAGTACAGTCTCCTGCCTGGGAAAGGATGCATGTTTTCTCCTCTATCCTAAACTGATTCAGTTTTCATGCTTTGTAACCTTACATACTAGTAACATTTTATATATCACAAAGTATTAAGAAGTTAAGGCAAAGAGAATTTACTACGCATGGAATTAAAAACCTTCATGAGCCACCTCTTCAGGACTGCCAGATGCACCCCTCCCCAGTACAGAGTTGTACTCCAAGATATCCTATGCAACTTATAAGCATCCTTGCACTTAAAACAAATAAAAATTCCTATACCCCGATTTTGAAAAATGATACTCAAATTGCAAACTATTAAAAGCTATGAAATTTAACAAAAATCTCAGTTCTTAGAATGTCACTGTTTTGTTAGGCAGTTATTTTTACTTTGAAAAAAATCGAAGGAAATTACTTAATAAAATTACAAAATGTAATTTACTGCTCAGTGCTACAAATCCACAAGTTTCCTGGTGCAAACCTCTCTTAAAAAGTAAAAACATATGTAAGGAAATACTAACATAAGCAGCACCTGTCATGTGGCAAGAAGAGTATTATGGACAGTAAAACGTAAGATCAGGATACAAATTCTGTAGAGAAAACAAACAAGGGTTGTGAAAGATGGGGTTGCCATACTAAACATGAAAGACTCCTTACATATTACATGCAAAGTAGCCATGATGCAGGATCTGCATTAATAAAAGTTTAAGGTTCTAGGAACATCTGTCTAACATTTATGTGCCTTCCAAGTAACAATCTAAAACCTCAGTCTATATTACTACAAAAAAACTCAGTTAAAGGCAAGGTATACAAAGTCATCTTGGATCACTAGACAAAATGCTACTGTATTTCCTCATGAAATAGAATTTTGAATTGCTTATGATTGCTGTATATACAAACATACAGTTAGGAAAAAAAAACAACAAAATAGCACTTTCACCAATATCACAACCTTTCTAGGTTGTGACCAAAAAGCCCAAAATACCTACTGAAATGATTTCATAACACTGCACAATTCAAAACTTTGGGCAGACCCTACACAGAAACAGACAGAAAAAGACCGGAAGAAAGCAACTAATCAGCCAAGGATGGTGTGGAAAGGTGGACTGAAAAACTAGGGAATGATGCCATAATCACTAACATCACTATGCAACTACTTTGCAGCTACTGAGCCAGCTTCAGTCCCTGTTGGCATCTCCCTGTAGCTTCTTTCCAAGATTTAGTGGCACAGGGTAAAAGCTACATCATGGGCTCCAACTCCAGGAAGTGGGAGACTCATTGCCTAGAATATATTAAAGATAAAAGTCTCTGAGCAGGACCACTCATTCCATTCTTAAATGCAACAATTCTGCTTTACAACTGTTCAGCTTCTTTCTATACCTTCGTGATCATCCCTGGCAGTGTTCAAGACCAGGTTGGATGAGGCCTTGGGTGACATGATTTAGCGTGAGGTGTCCCTGCCCATGGCAGGGGTTGGAACTAGATGATCTTAAGGTCCTTTCCAACCCTAACTGTTCTATGATTCTATGATTATGATTATGGAATTGGTTGCCCAGAGAAGCTGCGGCTGTCCCATGCCTGGAAGTGTTCAAGGCCAGGCTGGACAGGGCTTTGAGCAACCTCATCTAGTGGAGGGTGTCCCTGCCTGTGGCAGGGGCGTTGGAAATGGATGAGCTTTAAGGTCCCTCCCAAGACAAACCACTCTGATTACAAAATCACTATTTCCTCCAGCGTTTTCTTTCAATCATGTAACACGTTCATTATACTCCAAACAGTTCTAAAAATTGTTCATTTTGCCAAGATTACTGTCTAAGAAATAGCTAATAGCAAGACAGAACAAAATTATTCAGGAAGTGATTACACTATCTATCTCAAATATCATACCCTCTCACTTTCAGATAACAGATACAATTAACAATGGAGAAAAAATATTACAAAGCAGAAATTAGTTTTCAGCAAACAGAAATAAAAGCAGTAATTCATCTCATGTCAAGCACCTCACATTTGGGTTGAGTAGAACTCAATGGGCTTTCCAGAGCCGCAACTGATCTCTGAGGCCACGATTACAAACTAAGAAGTGGTACTTTCCGATCAGATTGCTTTCCTGATCCAGTTCACTTCAAAGCTTTACAAATATTTGTGCTGGCTCAATGGAGGGAGCAGAAATAAGCAGCTGGGGAGAGGGATACATGTGCTGCATGGCCAACAAATAAATGCGTATGTGCAGCCTTAATCCCCTCTGAAGATTCCAATAATTGTATAAACAGGCTGGCCCTGTAAACCAGCCACTTGCATTGCCTGAAGTAATGCAATCATGCCTCTTAAGTCTCTGATGAGGGCTGAAAACTGCTCTACAGATCAGACAGCATCTCTATTACATCAAGCAGCAACGTCTTTTGACAGGGCCATGGAACTGTCATATAGGTGGGGAGATAATGCACATCCTACACTTAATTCATCATCCTTCCTTCCAGCAGTAGAACTCCCACAGAAATCCAGTAAATGGAAGATACAGATATTTACTCTGAGTTGAAACAACATACTCCAATAAATAAATAATTCCAATGCTGGAAGCTGAAGCTGAGAGTAGAATCTATCTTAAAGACAGATTTCAGCTGCTTGTAAAGAATAAAACAACATCTTGGCATCAAATGGGTTTCTAATGGGAAATTTTAAACTCAACAAGCCCCTAAAGAACTTGGTAACTAGGAACCCAGTTGAGAACACTTTACATTTAAATACACTACTTTTACACTGACTTTATATTAGACCAGAAAATATATTTTATCATATATAATCCAAAAATTAGACTGGTCAACCTCTAGCAGACAGAGCTCAACTTAAGATGTAAAGAAATACCGCAGCTCTAGGTTATCAGTACAATGAGATCAGAAGTCTCCCTTTAAGCCTGCTGACCCCTTTAACACAGGAGGTTTGACTTCATCAGCAACCGACATAAAGGTTTTGTGACCTCTGCCTTCAGGCTCTAGAGACAAGACTTACAAGTCTATCACCTCAGAGTTACATCTATCTGAAGTTATGCTTGCTTTCTGCCACAGGAATGGAATGGAATCAGAAGCATTAAAAGTGATATTACTCAAATTTGTATCAATTAATCTATTTCGTATCAATAATATCTTTTAAACTAAATTATATTCCAGTTTGATGTTTAGATGATTCCTGACTCTAAACCAAGCAAGCACTGTCAAAAAACACTTAAGTGGAAAACTTCATGTTAAATTCTTTATTGTCGCTTCAACTTTTATTGTTGAGATGCCTAAAAATCCTGAAAAACTGGCTATTTGTAACTTTTTTCTATTTATCTTGTCTCTGTTTCCACTTTTATAGTAAATAATGTGCTCTGACACATGGTTGAGAATTGATTACAAGCTTAATCTATAGAATAGCGATTCTATTATTAATATGACATTAAAAAAGAAAAATCAGCCTGGATAACAGTATGAGGGGAGTTTTTTCTATTTATTACATTAGTTATTAATGCACGTAAAGCACAATATTCAGACTGAAGTTAATTATATTCTGTATTTTTGAGACATGATCATTGCAGCAAGTATATTTTATTAACAAGAGATTCAAAAGAACAACAGTAATTTTTTCTTTCTGCAAGAAACTAAGCCATGGCAACATCTTAGTAACCACTATGTCAGAGAGTACTCTGTTCTCTGACATGTGCTCTCTTTCAAGTTGAAATACAGTTCCACAAGTACTACTTACAGCTCACCAGTTTCTAATAAAACCTCCACTTCACTGTTTTGTATACTTTTATGCTTGCAACACACTCTCCCTTTTCCTCTCCAGAGAATCTCCAGGTTTTGCGTTTTATCCAATGCATTTTGATGTCAATATCTCTTCAAGTCACTGTTCTATTTACTCAAATTATTTCATACTTGAGCAAGATTCAAATGTTTACATGCTAAGCATAGCAGCCGTAGCAATTTGTGCTTCAATCTTTCACAGATTCTAAACCCTTCATGACAATATCTTGTCATGATAAAGCTAGGCAATGATGCTAAAAGAATACACCATTTAGCACATTGATGCTCTGTGTGTTTGCTGAATAGTGAAGACCACAGCTACTGTGAAATGAAGATTTGATGCATCATTTAAGAGGCCAGGGTTTTTATATGCACATTAAAAGCTATGATTTGATTTATGACTGATATTTGAACCAATGCAAAGTCATGTTCGGACAAACATGGCACTTACGTATTTGCTATTTGATCCAAGATCACGTTCACACAGATGTATCAACTGAGTATTTGCTGTATTTTCATTACCCAGCTAATGAACTCAAAGCTCTCTCAGTTTCCCTGTGTGTCCCAAAACTCCTTACCTATTTATATGGAAGTAATTTGGTTTTCCTAAGGTTTGCAATACTGTAGAAATGTCTAACAGGCTTATTATATAAGCCAAGATTTTGAACTGATCAACATTTAGGGATACAGTTAGGGATACTGCAACTTCAGGAATCAGTGCTCAGGCTGAGGCTAAATCTGGTTGCGTGGCATCCCCGGAATTAAGACTTTTTTTTTTTTTTCTTTTTTTAAAAGGAACAAACCAAAACCACCACAAAAACTATGTCTTGTGAACTCTAAGCACTAGTACATGTTCGAAACCATTACCAAATTTTTCCTAAAAACAATACGTAAAAGTAACTTCGGGTGGTGAATTCCAAGTTGATTCTGACATGTACGGCATTTACAAACAGCCTACGCATCTGTCCTG